TTTCCAATTTATTAACCATTGTTCTAATTGTATACAGTGAAACCATGATAATTTTATTTCTTTAAACTCTTCCAACATCCTTTCCCTCTTCATTTCCACTTTCATCCAATCCCCTATTCTATCTAAATTTATTTCCCTTACCTTTTTATCCATTACTTTTTTTAAATTTTTTGGGAATTTCTTTTCCATCACTATTGGGGTAATAATTGATCCTTCCTTTATTAACCTCCCCTTGTACTTATTCCATACTTATTCCGTGGTTTTATGCAGGAATTACATCACCTAGGAATTATGAACCCGAACCCAGCAATTGTTGCTCAGCTTTGATACTGTTTTTACTGTTTTTATGATGTTGTTGATTTGATAATGATGTTCTATGGATTTTTTGATTTGTTGTTGATTGTATTTTCTATATTGGTTTTATCTGCATTCTTGTCCCTTTGTAAGCTGCCCCGAGTCCCTTTCGGGGAGTAGGAGGTGGGGTATAAAAATAAAGTTGTTATTATTATTATTTGAAACACAACAAGATGAGCCACAACAGATACTCTGCTGGCTGTTGTATTGGATCACACGTCAGACACTTCCCAAGTGTCTAGGACTGTGTGATGTATCGGCGAATAATGCGTGCAGATCCCAGTAAGGTGGCCTTCTGCAGCTGGCAGGTGGTAATTTTTCAGCGCCGATTGTGTTTAAGTGAAGGCCAAGGTTTTTAGGCATTGCACCATGTGCTGATCACCACTGGGACCACCTTTACTGGTTTGTGCCAGAGTCTTTGCAGTTCAATCTTTAAATCCTCATATCCTGTCAGCTTTTCCAGTTGTTTCTCTGCAATCCTGCGGTCACCTGGGATTGCAACATCGACGATCCATACTTAGTTTTTTAACACGATTGTGAGGTCAGGAATATTATGCTCCAAAACTCTGTCTGTCTGAATCCGGAAGTCCCAGAGGAGTTTGGCGTGTTCATTCTCTGTAACTTTTTCTGGTTTGTGATTCCACCATTTCATTGTCACAGGCAGATGATAATTATTTATTTATTTATTTATTTACTTTACTTGTATACCGCAGTTTCTCAGCCTAACCGGCGACTCAACGCGGTTTACAACAAGGGTAAAATAAATCACGATATACAATTTAAAACACAGAAGCACAATATACAGTATTACACAACAATAACAACACAATGCTTCTCATCATTAGAATCATGATCCAAATTCATCGTCCATATTTCCATTCCTGTAATCGTCACATTCATTGCACTGATTAACCAAATGCCTGTTCGAACATCCAAGTTTTTAATCTCCTTCGGAACACCATTAGCGAGGGGGCTGATCTTACCTCCATGGGAAGGGCGTTCCACAGCCGAGGGACCACCACAGAAAAGGCACAAAATTGTGGCACAAGTTCCAATGAATCATCTGAGCAATGGTATTATGCCTCTGCTTGTAGTCTGTCTGCGTGATCTTCTTGCAGGAGCTGAGGATGTGATCTATTGTTTCATCTGCTTCCTTGCAGAGTCTACATTTGGGATCTGTTGTCGACTATTATTATTATTATTAATTATTATTATTATTATTATTATTATTATTAGTGGGGTGTGCTGCAATGCTCCAGTGGGATTCCTACCCAGGTAATCCTCAGAACTCAAGATACTTGTCTATTCTTAAGATGAAAAGCACACATCTGCATTTTAGATGGGTTAGGCATCAGTTGGTTTCCCCTGTAATAGGCAGTAAGAGCACCTAAAGCTTCAAAGAGCTCTTGTTCAACCATTTCAAATCTCCCTGCTTGACCGGCAATGGCACAATTGTCAGCATACTTGGAATCCTAGGAATTTAGCAAATTAGAACTTATACAAGTTCTATTGTTTTGGTGATTTTGTTCTGGTTGATTGGAAATACAACGAAATGCAAACTTTTTCTGCTGTAGTAAATGTACGATAGCAGACTGGTGATATGAATATTTCCTGTTCTATTTCTAAAATTAAAAATGTTATCCTTCTGTGATCTGCCTGAGCTGATTCTCCTTCCCTCTCTTCCTGTTATGCTAGATGTCATTTTATTTCCATTGTGATTAGCCTGAACATAAAGACTGTCAAAACAAAAGGAGTTGCTTGCTATGAATTCATCTCAACATGATGCAAACAGAGCTGGCGGCAATACAAGAATAGCAATTTACATGACTGGACAGAAACTGTATAAACCTTCTATCACTGTAAGGTGTGCTTTATGGGGAAATACCTTGCCACCCCGGTTGTGGTTGCGACAGAAGTAAATCAAATGTGGACAATGTGACATTTCTTTACTAAAGAAATTGAATGCTATGGTGTAATGTCACCACTTGTAAAATGTTTGGATGGATTAGAACGACAACAAAAACTGAGAATAATTTTGTGAAGGCTCCCTAATCAAGTCTTTCGAATAACAGCACCATCCAAAATGTATTTGCTCAGATTTCAGTCTCCTTGAATTCAACAGGGCTTAGAAAGAATCTGAACATATTTTCCAAGAATACCCATCTTTTCTCTGTTCTGAATTCCAACCACACTACACCCCTCTTTCCTCTACAGTAGTCTTCTGGGTATTTTAGTCCTTTCAGCTACAACAGTGTTTCTCAACCTTCCTATTGCCGCAACCCCTTAATACAGTTCCTCATGTTGTGGTGACCCTCAACCATAAAATTATTTTGTTGCTACTTCATAACTGTAATTTTGCTACTGTTATGAATTGTAATGTCGATATCTGATATGCAGGATATATTTTTATTCACTGCACCAAATTTGGCACAAATTCCTGATACACCCAAATTTGAATACTGGTGGCATTGTGGCATGATTGATTTTGTCATTTGGGAGTTGTAGTCGCTGGGATTAATAGTTTACCTACAGTCAAAGCATTCCGAACTCTACCAATGATGGAATTGAATCAATCTTGGCACACAAAACTCCCATGACCAACAGAAAATACTGGAAGGATTTGATGGGCACTGACCTTGAGTTTTGGAGTTGTAGTTCACCTACATCCAGAGAGCACTGTGGTCTCAAACAATGATGGATATGGACCAAACTTGACATAAATACTCAACATGCCCAAATGTGAACACTGGTTGAGTTTTGGAAAAATAGATCTTGACATTTTATAGTTGTAATTGCTGGGATTTATAGTTCATTAACAAATCAAATAGCATTCTGAACCCCAATAATGATAGAACTGATCCAAACTTCCCACACAGAAACCCCATGACCAACAGGGAATGTTTTCGGATAGTCTTTGGCAACCCCTATAACACCCCCTCGTGACCTCCCCAGGAGTTCCGACCCCGTTTGAGAACCACAGAGCTAGAAGCACGCTTGTTGTTGAGTGCCTTGAAGTCATTTCCAACTTACAGTGACCCTAAGTCATCAGGAGCCCCCGGTGGCGCAGTGGGTTAAAGCACTGAGCTGCTGAGCTTGTTGATCGAAAGGTCGCAGGTTCGATTCCGGGGAGCGGCATGAGCTTCCGCTGTCAGCCCTAGCTTCTGCCAACCTAGCAGTTCGAAAACATGCAAATGTGAGTAGATCAATACGTACTGCTCCGGCGGGAAGGTAACGGCGCTCCATGCAGTCATGCCGGCCACATGACCTTGGAAGTGTTTACGGACAATGCTGGCTCTTCGGCTTAGAAATGGAGATGATCACCACACCCCAGAGTCAGACATGACTGGACTTAATGTCAGGGGACTACCTTTACCTAAGTCATCAGGCAATCCAAGGGTTTGGGCTTGCTTTCAGGGAGATGGTTGCTTATTTTTAACAACACTCGGATCACCCCAAGTCCAAATGTATGATGGTAATTAAAGAGCACATCTAACAGAAGCAGGCACATAGCCTTTTGCTGCACCAGTGCGTCTGCACCATAAGCTGAAGATGTCTTCTCTCTGTAGGGCTTGGAGATTTTTCATCCAGCTTCCTTTCATGCTGAACTGGAGAAGTATTCGGATGTCTATCAGGCTGAAAACAAACCCCTATAATAACCCAGTGATTCCGACCATGAAAGCCTTCGACAATACAGTTAAAGTAAAATGCAAACCAATACACATATACAATACAGTAAGCAATTATATACATAACAAATGACTAGTGGTGTTGTAACTCAGCGTCCTGGCAGTGAACCTACTAGTGGGTGTGAGAGGAGAAGGAGCGATGCAGAGTTGGAGGAGGAACAGCGTCAGCTAAAACGCATTAGGGATGTTATCATGGCGCCCAGTGAGTCTGAGGACTTTGCAAGGTTTGGACCCGAGGACTTGGAGGAACTGGATTACAGGGGAGTAAAACGTTTTGCCAGTGAGACTGACAGTGATGAAGAAGTAATGAGCAAGCGTCTTAAAGACGTAGCTGACAATTGCAGTTCGGATGAATAGGGATCCAATGATGGGAATATGGAAGAGGGGCTGGACTGGACTCGGGTTAGGGAAATTCAGGACATATGCACACAGCCCACGTCTAGTGATGAATTCGAGGGGTTTCATGATACATGGCAGGCAGGTACTTCTTGGGAGGATTCTGGACAAGATCAACGTTGGCAGCGCTGGCATAGTAATGAGGTCACAGCTGAGGATAATGATCCAGGTGTAAGTGATGAGAGCCAATCCAGTGATAGCGACTGCTGATAAAATGAGGGCTTTGGGATGGGTAGTTTTGCAGAGGACAAAGCGTTGTATCGGGTGTTTTGTGCTGCCTTACCTCCGTTTGGGTCCTGGGAATACAGCTATCGTGTCTTTGTGTGCCTCAACTCTGGATTGGACTACGTGAGTGACTTCGTCTTGTCCCTTGACTACGGAATGTTTCTGGACCACGCCATTTGCCTTCTGGACTTCGTTTGCTGCCTCTCTCCGTGTTTGACCTAGGACTGTTTAACTACGCTATTGCCATCGCCAGTTTTGCTCCTGCTTTCCTTTTTTGAGAAGCTGAGTTCTGGGATATCCCGGTTTTTCCTCCCCGTTTGTTTACCGTTTGTTTCACGAATTTTAAGGGCTACGATGTGTTGCAGCGGGGAACAGCACAGAGTTTATAAGGACGTGGGTGCATCGTCAACCCAACCGCAGGGTTCGTATTGAGTTTTTTCACTCCTGGTGGTAGTTGGAAGCTGAATGACCTCAACAAGCATGTGAAGAAGATGAAGAGTTCAATTCTTGCTAGCTGCTCTCCCAAACACACTCGAGCCCCTGTGGAGGAAACATGAGAGGATAAGTTCAAGTGAGTGATCACTTATTCCAGTTATTTTCCAACCAGCCACAGGTTTTGATTAGACCTTGGGAAATGTACAGTTCCTAGGAGCTACCAGAATGGCTACTGATCCATAAAGTCTAAAACCTGTAGTCTGAAAAAAGCAAGATTGGGACATTATCACATAAGGCTGTAAAAATAGCTCTGGTTACACACCTATTACTTATATTTGAATATAGCCTATTCAGATATAGCACTTGTAATATCCCCAGTGGCGCAGTGGGATAAACTGCTGAGCTGCTGAACTTGCTGATCGAAAGGTTGATGATTCAAATCTAGGGTGCAGGGTGAGCTCCCGCTGTTAGACCCAGCTTCTGCCAACCTAGCAGTTTGAAAACAGGCAAATGTGAGTGCATCAATAAGTACCTCTCCAGTGGGAAGGTAACAGTGCTCCATGCAGTCATGCTGGCTACATGACCTTGGAGGCGTCTATGGACAACGCCAGCTCTTCAGCTTAGAAATGGAGATGAGCCCCATCTCCATCTCTCGACTAGATTTAATGTCAAGGGAAACCTTTATTTATTTATTTACAGCTTTTATATTCCGTCCTTCTCACCCCGCAGGGGACTCAGGGTGGATTACAGTGTACACATATATGGCAAACATTCAATGCCAATTTGACATACAACGTATACAGACATACACAGAGGCTATTTAACTTTTTCTGGCCGCCAGGGAAGCTGTCGCTTTCATCGTCCATCTGCGACGCTGATGAAGTACTTCCGCATTCCCCGCATGCTTTTTGCTGGGGTGCTTGCTGGAGTCTTTTTTTTATGGCCTCATAAATTAGTTAATTTAGCCTCCCCACACTTTAAGGTGGTACCTAATTTTCCTACCTGACAGATGCAACTGTCTTTCGGGTTGCAAAGGTCGACAACAGGCTACACAATTGGTTGGAAGCCCACTCCAACCCAGGCTGGCTTTGAACTTATGACCTTTTGGTCAGAGTGATCTTAACGCAGCTGACACTCACCCAGCTGCGCCACAATCCCGGTGCCTTTACTATATAACACCAACCTCCCTTTATGTTGTGTTGAGAAGACTCTGTAAACATAGTTATAAATCTCTTCTGCATTTACCTTCCCCAAAAGCAAGAAACGCCTCTCTGGCCAAAAATTTTCCATCTTTGTCCAAGAAATGTTGCGGGTTGAATTCTTTGGGGGTCTCCCATTGCTTGGGATCAAGAAGAACAGAGCGCAGATCCGGCATGATAAAGGTGCCCTGCAAGAAAGAATTGGCTCAAAATGCACATAGAATAGAACAGTTCATATTTGTCCTCTCCTAGCACAAATGATACTTAAACAAACTTTGCTATATATGCGACATCGGAGATTTATAATTCAGTCTTTAAAACTTGTCTGGGGTAATCTCCTTGATGTTCCTTCAACGTAGCTGCAGTTTAGGTGCAGACTTTAGCACTCGAGGATCCTAGAGTTGGAAGAGACCTTGTGGGCCATCCAGTCCAACTCCATGTCAAGAAGCAGAACACTGCATTCAAAGCACCCCTGACAGATGGTCATCCAGCCTCTGCTCTCCAAAGAAGGAGCCTCCACCACACTCCGGGGCAGAGAAGCTGAACAGCTCTCACAGTCAGGAAGTCCTTCCTAATGTTCAGGTGGAATCTCCTTTCCTGTAGTTTGAAGCCATTGTTCCATTGCTTCCTAGTCTCCAGGGCAGCAGAAAACAAGCTCCCTCCCTCCTCTCTATGACTTCTCCTCACATATTTATTCATGGCTCTCATCATGTCTCCTCTCAACCTTCTCTTCTGCAGGGTAAACATTACCAGCTCTTTAAACTGCTCCTCATAGGGCTTGTTCTCCAGAGTCATTATCATGGAGAATAAGTGTCTCAGCTGAAGTTTTATCACTAATTCTTGTTTCCACAACAAGCCACATTTTTCAAAATCCAATTCTCAAAGGGACAGAAAGTGAGGCAAAATCTTCTGAACAGGTGCACAGACAGCAAAACAACCACCACAGGGGTGTCAATCCCTTCCTATGCTAGTCACAGCTTTGTCTGCCTGTCCGTCTGTCTGTCTGTCTGGAACGATTCAACGTTGCCTCTGAAAAATCCTGCAAATCTCTTGGGAAGACAGGCGGACAAAGAGTAAAGACCACCAGCATTGAAGCGATGGTCCTCCACTATCAACTCCGCTGGACCGGCCACGTTGTCCGGATGCCCAACCACCATCTCCCAAAACAATTGCTCTATTCTGAACTAAAGAATGGAAAACCGAATGTTGGTGGACAGGAAAAGAGATTTAAAGATGGGTTCAAAGCCAACCTTAAAAACTCTGGCATAGACACTGAGAACTAGGAAGCCCCTTGAGCACTCCAGCTGGAGGTCAGCTGTGACCATCAGTGCTGCAGAATTTGAAGAGGCCCGAATGGAGGGTGAAAGAGAGAAACGTGCCAAGAGGAAGGCGCATCAAGCCAACCCTGACCAAGACTGCCTTCCACCTAGAAACCAATGCCCTCACTGTGTGAGAAGATACAGATCATGAATAGGGCTCCACAGTCACCTACAAAGCCACCAGAATACTGCTCCTGGAAGACTATCCTACTTGGCCAATGAGGGATCACCTAAGTATCTATCTATCTATCTATCTATCTATCTATCTATCTATCTATCTATCTATCTATCTATCTATCTATTTGGAGTTTGACTTTAAAAATACACCAGTTACAACTTACATGCAAATTCAACTTAAGAACAAAGGTACAGAACCAATCTTATTCGTAACTCGGGGACTGCTTGTATTTGGGCCACTGTCTATTTTCCATATTGAGTTCTCAGTTCCATAAGTGTTGCACAAACAGATTTGCATTCCTGACTAATTGATAGCAACTACTCAACAGTACCTTTAGCATACTGGTTGATTAACTGGGATTATAGACATAGCCACTGCATATCTTCCCTTGCAGAACAAAGCAAAAAAGGGTATTGGTAGGCACACAACTGGCAGCTCAGAGCTGGCATGCAGCAGAAGGCTTGCGTAGCATGATCACACTGTAACTAGGAGTGTAGATTTACATCTCATGCGCACAGTATAGGATTCAGCCAGGAAATAAAGCCTGACTGCTCATTGGAGGGAAGGATATTAGATGCAAAGATGAAGTACTACCAGAAAACTGACTTTGCCATGTACATTACTGTCAGGTTTTACAATGTATTGTAATGTAATATAGCTGAGTCATGCACTGCTTATGGGCTTCTATTGGAAATGCTGAGTCATGCATTAACTGTATATAGGGAATCATTTGGGGAATGTGTTCTGGCCTACTCCAGGTGATTGTGAATGATGTAATCCTGGGTCTGAATTAAGTTAATGAGTTGGGAACCAATCAGAGATTGCTATGTGTAATTGTATAGAATTGTATATAAGGAAGTCATGTACAGTGTATATTTCTCCTTGTGCTGTGATGTTGTTCGTCGAAGGCTATATGTAATTAAAGAACCTGTCTGCTAAGACAAGATATAACTGTGTGGTGTGGTAAGTTTGTAATATCATCTAGATTGGGGGAAAGACAATGGTAAAACTGACAATGGCCGGGCATGTGCTCAAGTGTCTGTAAAGGATTCGAGAGTGACTGCAGGTTGTGGGAGCAGTTGACTGAAAATACTGTGCAGGAAGAAGCTACTGGAAAGCGCTGAAGTTGTGCAACTGATCTGCTGCTGAATTGTGAAGTTAATCTGAACAATTACTGAAAAATGCAGCTCTGGGTCTGAGATAGTCTTGAACTACAGAACGTATTGGAGCCCCCAGTGGCACAGTGGGTTAAAATGTTAAGCTGCTAAACTTGCTGATCGAAAGGTTGCAGGTTCGAATCCGGGGAGCGGGTGAGCTCCCACTGTTAGCCCCAGCTTCTGCCAACCTAGAAGTTCGAAACCTGCAAATGTGAGTAGATCAATAAGCACCGCTCTGGCGGGGAGGTAACGGTGCCCCATGCAGTCCTGCTGGCCACATCACCTTGGAGGTGTCTATGGACAACGCCAACTCTTTGGCTTAGAAATGGAGATGAGCTCTAACCCCCAAAGTCGGACACGGCTAGACTTAATATCAGGGGAAAACCTTTACCTTTTACAGAAAGTATAGTTTTACCTTTGGAATGAATGAACCATGTATGGTCACATCCTTCACATTTTGTCTGGGAACCCCCAATAAAAAGGCATATTTTGCACGCTGGATCTCGTGAATCACAGCATTGGTGTAGGGCAGTTTTTTCCGGTCTTGATAGCAGATAGAGCAAGAAGCATCAAAAACATCTTCGATCTCCTTCTGGATTTTACCTAGGGGAAATGGTGGGCAAGAGAAATGTATTTTAGATACCCAGGAGTGTGAGCATAGGGCCCCATTGATCAACCCTGAATAAACACTCTTGTTAAGAAACCGACCTTGGATTTCTGGGTGAACTGCCATCAGAAGTATTGCCCACTTCAGGGTCACAGCTGTTGTCTCAGTTCCAGCTCCAAAAAACTCAATAATACATTCAGCCAGGTTTTCCTCATCATAGGTTGTATAGAGATTATCATTAGTCTGTTAATAGCAATTAAAGAAGAGAATGGCAGAGGAACTATCTCATGCATTCATGACTTAAATCAGCTCCATTTCACTTGTCTTCCAAGTTTTTTTTCATGTGTCAGGAGCATCTTGAGAAACTGCAAGTTGCTTCTGGTGTGAGAGAATTGTCCGTCTGCAAGGATGTTGCTCAGGGGATGCCCAGATGTTTTGATGTTTTATCATCCTTGTAGGAGGCTTCTCTTATGTGCCCGCAATGGGGAGCTAGAGCTGATAGAGGCAGCTCATCCACGCTCTTCCTGGATTCGAACCTGCAACCTGTTGGACCTCAGTCCTGGTTTAGCCAAAGTGTGTTCTTATTGTTCCCTTGTGCAATGGTGAATGCCTAGTGCAGCATTTCTCAACCTGGGGGTCGGGACCCCTGGGTGGGTCACGAGGGAGATATTAGAGGGGTCACCAAAGACCACCAGAAAACACAGTATTTTCTCTTGGTCCTGGGTTTTTTTTATTTCATTTTGTTTTGATTTTATCTTATTGTGTTATGTTTTTAATTCTGTGCTCTCTGGGCTGGTCCCTTTGTAAGCTGCCCTAAATCCCTTTGGGGAGATGGAGGCAGGGTATGAATATAAAACTATTATTGGTCACACGCTCTGGTCACATCCCGCCTTGACTACTGCAACGCTCTCTACGTGGGGCTGCCCTTAAAGACGGCCCGGAACTTCAGCTAGTCCAGCGCGCGGCAGCCATGTTACTAACAGGAGCGGGACGCAGGGAGCATACAACGCCCTTGCTGTTCCAGCTCCACTGGCTGCCGATTTGCTACCGGGCCCAATTTAAGGTGCTGGTGCTATCCTACAAAGCCCTAAACGGTTCCGGCCCAAAATACCTTTCGGACCGCATCTTGGCCTATGAGCCCACGAGGACCTTGAGATCGTCTGGGGAGGCCCTTCTCTCGATCCTGCCTGCTTCACAGGCACGTCTGGCGGGGACGAGAGAAAGGGCCTTCTCGGTGGTGGCCCCCCGGCTGTGGAACGACCTCCCTGCTGACATCAGACAGGCGCCTTCCCTTCTGTCCTTCCGTAAGAGCCTGAAGACCTGGCTATTTGAGAAGGCATTCAACTGAGCGCTACGGCAACTGGTAATTGACAACAGGAACGGAATACGGATTACGATATTGGTTATGATTCTATGATGTGACGGAGCGGATTATTTAGTGTAACCAGATTATAGTGTATTATTGTTGTATTGATTCCCTGTTTTGCCCTTTTTGTAAACTGTTTTTTATATGTTGTGCACCGCCGCGAGTCGCCCTAGGGCTGAGAGCGGCGGTCAATAAATGCAGTAAATAAATAAATAAGTTGGGTTGTTATAGGTTTTTTTGGGCTATATGGCCATGGTGTAGAGCCATTCTCTCCTGACATTTTGCCTGCATCTATGGCAAGCATCCTCAGAGGTAGTGAAGTCTGTTGGAAATAGGAAAAGGGGTATATATATCTGTGGAAAGACCAGGGTGGGACAAAGTACTCTTATCTGCTGGAGCCAGGTGCGAATGTTTCAACTGACCACCTTGATTAGCATATCATGGCCTGACAGTGCCTAGAGCAAACTGAACCACCTAAACTGGGCTCTACAGGCCAATGGACACTCCACCTCAGACATCAGAAGAGTGGCAAGACCGAGAACAAGCCATGAGAATAAAGACGAAGATCCACCCAGAGGAAAAGTGTTCTTGCCATACAGCAAGGGAACCACTTACCACAGAGGGAAGCTGACGAGGAAACACAACATACAACCTATCTACAGACCCACCAAAAAAAATCCAACAGATTGCCAAAGGATGCCTGTCTCATCTCTCAAGTTCATGGTTCCAGTATCTCCACATTTCCTGTTCTAGTTCATGCCTATGTTTCCTGGAAGGGTTTACCTTGGGAAAGTTCCTGTTGCCTTGTTTATAGATTTAGCCTTGCAGTAACTCTGTGGATTGTGGTGCTCTTGACTTTATGTACTTTGACCTTTTGGGATTCTTGTGACTTTTGTATTTGCTATTCTCCTGACCCTTTTTTGAGTTGACTTTCCTCCTTTTTGCCTGCTTTCTTCAATAAACATTCTTAGATAGAACTCTTGGTCTCATGTGTGGTGCTGAGTGAAAAGGTGGTTCAGTGCCAGATTGTAACACCTTGCAAGTTCCTCCATTGCCACCAATGGGCCAGAACTTCCCAAAGCAAAAACTCAAGTTTCTGGCCAACTGATGTGAGAAATGGCATTTCCACCCTCCAGATTTTGGGAACCTCCTGAAAAGCGTCATACAGGGAGCATACCACCCTCTGTTATGTCAGTTCCACTGGCTGCCGATCCAGTTCCGAGCACAATTCAAAATGCTGGTTTTGACCTACAAAACCCTATACGGCTCCGGCCCAGCATACCTGTCCGAACGCATCTCCCTCTACATCCCACCTCGGAGTTTGAGATCTTCTGAGGAGGCCCTGCTCTTGATCCTGCCTCTATCACAAGTGAGATTGGTAGGGACGAGGAGCAGGGCCTTCTCGGTGGTGGCCCCTCACCTGTGGAATTCACTCTCTGGGGAAATTAGGTCATCGACATCCCTCCTCTATTTCAGAAGGAAATTAAAAACATGGTTATGGGACCAGGCTTTCGGGCAATCTGGCGATTAGATAAGGACAATGATGACCAGAATCGAGAGTACTTGACAATGTGGAATGAATTTACGGACTATGAGATGGCGAACGCTGAGCATTAGATTGTTTTTATTGATTTTAATGTATGGACTGACTGTCTTAATTGTTATAATTGCTGTTTACATGTTTTATCCATTGTTATGTTTATATTGGCATCGAATTGTGCCTTTTGTAAGCCGCCCTGAGTCCCCCCTCGGGGGTTGAGAAGGGCGGGGTAGAAATGCGCGAAATAAATAAATAAATAAATAAATAGCATGAGAGCCCAGCCAAAAACAGAACTGAAAAAGGGACAGGTTTAGGACAAATCACTCACCCCTAGTATAAATTTGCAGCTGAGATAACATAGCAGCACCTTGCTATAATTTGCAAGAATTCATTGAGTTTCTGCTTCAACTTGCAAATAATCTCCAAGGGTTATTTAATATACTGTATATACTGGAGTATAAGCCTAGTTTTTAAGACCTTTTTTTGGGCTGAAAATGTCCCTCTCGGCTTATACTCGAGTCAAGGTTATTTATTATTTTACTCTGTTATAAATATGTAATAAATGTATTATTATTATTATTACATTTATTATTTTACTTTATTATTGTTGCTATTTTTACATTTATTATTTTACTCTATTTATTATTGTTATTATTACATTTATTATTTTACTCTATTTATTTTTATTGGAATGGAAGCCCATTTACATTGAAGACGGTCAGAACGTTTTAATCAGAGTTGAGCAGTCTTACAGTTTTATGTAAATATTCAAAAACATCTAACCTCCTGATTTATTTATTTATTTATTTATTTATTTATTTATTTATTGCATTTGTTAACCGCCGCTCTCAGCCCTAGGGCGACTCGCGGCGGTGTACAACATATAAAAAACAGTATACAATAGGGCATCACAATATCAACAATTCATTATACACATTAAGCTAATTTACACTTAACTAATCCGCATCGTCACACATAGAATCATAGCCAATCTCATAGACCGTATTCCGTTCCACTTGTCATTACCCGTTTGTAAAGCACTCAATTAAATGCCTTTCCAAATAGCCAGGTCTTTAGGCTCTTACGGAAAGCCAAAAGGGAGGGCGCCTGTCTGATTTCAACAGGGAGGGTGTTCCACAGCCGGGGGGCCACCACCGAGAAGGCCCTTTCTCTCGTCCCCGCCAGACGTGCCTGTGAGGCAGGCGGGATCGAGAGAAGGGTCTCCCCAGACGATCTTAAGGCCCTCGTGGGCTCATAGGCCTCAGTTAATGTAATTTTATTGGTATCTATTTTTATTTTGAAATTTACCAGTATCTGTTGCATTTCCCACCCTCAGCTTATACTCGAGTCAATCTGTTTTCCCAGTTTTTTTGTGGTAATATTAAGTGCCTCAGCTTATATTCGGGTCGGCTTATACTAGAGTATATACGGTATGTACTTAGCTTCTTTTTCTCGTACATTTTTGTGGACCAGGCCTCAACTTTCATTGAGCTTTAAAGCCACACCTTCTGGATAGAAGCAAGTAGGCTAGATGGAATTTTACTTTTTATCCCATTCACCCACATTAGGCGGAAGGAGGAAAAAACCTTTCATTTCACACCAAATGGATACTTACTTTCTCTATCTGAAGAAGGTAGAAGTCAATGAAATCCTGTGGTTCGTGCAGGGACTGTTCCTCCTTATGATTCTTCACTTCTTTCTTTACAAGTGAAATCACCATGTCCATGGCTGCCAGTGCTTTCTTGTGAGGCCCTGGGAGATGTTTCATAAGCCATGGAAACAACTCATACAGCTAAAGAAACAATGAAACTGGGGATTAATGATCTTTGACATTTTACTAAATGAGAGCCAGAAATGAGAATTTTTAAAGCAGAGATGCTCAACCTCCAGAAGTGTTCACCAGGATAACCAGTGATGACACATTCTGGGGTCGGAAGCCCAAAACATCTAAAGAACCAAAGGTTGAGAAGCTAGGCTTTTGTCCTTGACTGGTCAAGGACTAAGAAGAAGAGCACTCACAGCATGAAAGAAGCTTCCTCCAAATTGTAAGCCCCAGTCAAGAGTTTCCAACATTTTCTGCAAGTTTTCATCCTCGGTAGAAAACTGGTGTCCAAAAACCAGAGCACATATCACATTGGAGACTGCTTTGGTGAGGGGTACTGAAGGATCAAATGGCTGTCCTGTAAAAGAAATTAATGATCATCATATCACAGTTTATAGTTCAAATGTCCTTGGGGAATTGGCCCTGAAGCTGGACACTCAGGTTTTGTTAATGTCCTTTTGCATGGTTAAGAGTACAGTGGACTAGCCATATTTGTGGGGTTCTGCTTTCAAAACGACACAATTATGGAAAACCACAAGTGACTGTGCTCTATATTATTTAACTAGCTGTCCCCTGCCACACGTTGCTGTGGCCCAGTCTGCTGATCTGGAAAATAAAGTAATGAGAAAGTGTTGGTTTCTAATATATGTAATTTCTTTATGCTTGTGGGTAAACAGTATTTCTTGCTTATTTATTTGTCGTGTCAGGATAACCAGTCAAATTATTTTACATTTCTAACAGAACAAAGCAAACAAACAGACAAAATACAGAATGTGTGAGTTTGGTAGTTGGTTAAATGCAGGGCCGTAGCCAGAAAAAAATTTCGGGAGGGGTTGAAATTTGGGGGGGGGGGTTGAAAATTTTGCGGGGGGGGGGTTGAAACCTGCCTCCTAGCTCACGCTGAATCAAAGAGCACAGAGCAGCCTTCAATAGCCTGCAGCTCTGCCCCTGTCAACCACCTCCACCAAGTCTGGCCTCCTTAATGAGAGCATTCAACACACACACTCCCAACTTGGTTGCTTCACTACATCGGCTATTACTGCAAGTAATGACAATGTGAATAAATTGTCAATATTTGCCTGAGACAGTGCTTGTAGTTCTGGAGAGACTCTTAATTTTTTGCATCTCATAGACTTAGCATGGGGATTTGGTTAACGAGTTAAAATTCATGAGTAAACCAGGTTTTTTAAAAAAAATCTGAAACATTTCAGGGGGGGGTTGAACCCCTAAAACCACCCCCTCGCTACAGGTCTGGTTAAATGTCCTTTGACTAGTATCTGGCCACTTGGAGTGCTTCTGGTGTTGCCGCAAGAAGGTCCTCCATTGTGCATGTGGCAGGGCTCAGGGTGCATTGCAGCAGGTGGTCTATGGTTTGCTCTTCTCCACACTCGCATGTTGAGGATTCCACTTTGTAGCCCCATTTCTGAAGGTTGGCTCTGCATCTCGTGGTGCCAGAGCGCAGTCTGTTCAGCGCATTCCAAGTTGCCCAGTCTTCTGTGTGCCCAGGGGGGAGTCTCTCATTTGGTATCAGCCATTGGTTGAGGTTCTGGGTTTGAACCTGCCCTTTTGGACTCTCGCTTGCTGAGGTGTTCCAGCGAGTGTCTCTGTAGATCTTAGAAAACTATTTCTAGATTTAAGTCGATGACGTGCTGGCTGATACCCAAACTTCTTGCTGTTGCTTTGTCATGTTGATATGGAGAGTGTCTGGTTTGCCCACCCTGGAACATGCAAGATATCATTGCCTTTCTTTAGGGGTCCCTTTCAAATCTGATACTATATCTGTGTTTGTGTGAATAATATCTATCTATATCTATGGCTGGATGGCTCTTTGTCAGGAGGACTATAATTATGTTTTCTTGCCCTGATGAAGGGAGTTGGATTGGATGGCTTTAAGTATTTTCTGTTGGTCACAGGGGTTCAATGTGGGATGTTTGCCCTGATTCTGTTGTTTGTGGAGTTCAGAATGCCCTTTGATTGTAGATGAATTGTGAATCCCATTGACTACAACTCCCAAATGCCAAGGTCTATTTCCCCCAAACTCCATTTGTGTTCATATTTGGGCGTATTGAGTGCTTGTGCCAAGTTTGGTCCAGATCCATCATTGTTTGAGTTCACAGTGCTCTCTGGATGTAGGTGAACTATAATTCCCAAACTCAAGGTCAATGTCCACCAAACCCTTCCAGTATTTTCAGTTGGTCATGGCGGTTCTGTGTGCCAAGTTTGGTTCAATTCCATCATTGGTGGAGTTCAGAATGCTCTTTGATTGTAGGTGAACTATAAATCCCAGCAACTACAACTCCCAAATGACAAAATCATAATTGGCCCTGAACGGTTTGGGACCACCCTACCTGCATGACCGCATCTCCATCTACGAACCCACACGCTCACTCCGGTCATCTGGGGAGGCCCTGCTCGTGATCCCACCCATGTCGCAAGCGCGCTTGGTGGGGATACGGGACAGGGCCTTTTCTGTGGCGGCCCCCCGACTTTGGAATGCCCTTCCAAAAGATCTTCGACAGGCCCCTACTTTAGCAGTTTTCAGAAAGAATCTAAAAACTTGGCTGTTCCGATGTGCCTTCTCAGATTAGGAACTCTCCATCCCAAGTCCTAGAAGCACTTTAGTATAATTAAGATTGCTGCTCACCGCACTATTTTAATCCTATGTTCCTCCTGCCACTCCAGCACTTTTAACCCTGTACCCACTGCTCTGGCCGGCCCAGTTTTTTAAGTGTCCTGATGTATTGTTACTATTGTTGTTATTCTGCCTAACTATTTTGATTTGCTTCTGTTTTATTGTTGTGTTATGTTTTGCTGTACTGTGTTCTGAGGCTTCGGCCTGTGTAAGCCGCATCGAGTCCTTCGGGAGATGCTAGCGGGGTACAAATAAAGTTAATAATATAATAATAATAATAATTGTGAGACATTTTGTTGCCAAATTTGGTGTGATTTCGTTCATTGGGTTTTTTTTGGTTTTTAAGGTACTCATTATGCACAGAGTGCACACACACACACACACACACACATATATATAAAAGTTTTAAGAGAATTAAAAAAAATTCAAGGAAAAATGGGTAGTTCATATATTTAATTAAAAGTCCCTTCTGAAACAATTGGTAAATAGTTAAACGTGGTCTGTCCTGGGCCCAGTCCTGTTCAACATCGTTATTAATGACTTAGATGAAGGATTAGAAGGCATGATCATCAAGTTTGCAGACAACACCAAATTGGGAGGGAGAACCAATACTCCAGAAGACAGGAGCAGAATTCAAAATGATCTTAAGAGATTAGAGAGATGATTGGCCAAAACTAACCCAATTGAAGTTCAACAGGGACAAATGCAAGATATTCCCCTTAGGCAAATAAAAAAATGAAATGCAAAGATACAGAATGGGGGACGATGCCTGGCTTGACAGCAGGACGTGTGAAAAAGAACTTGGAGTCCTCATGGACAAGAAGTTAAACATGAGCCAACAATGTCATGCGGCAGCAAAAAAAAAAAAACCAATGGGATTTTGGTCAGCATCAATAAGAGTCTAGTGCCTAGATTCAGGGAAGTCATCTTACCCATGCTCTATTCTGCCTTGGTCAGACCACACCTAGAATCACCTTGTGTCCAGTTCAGGCCATTGCAATTGAAGGGAGATGTTGACAAGCTGGAATGAGGAGGGAGACTCAAAGGCTCAAAGGTCTGGAGAACAAGCCCTATGAGGAGCAGCTTAAACAGCTGGGCATGTTTCGCCTTCAGAAAAGAAGGCTGAGAGGAGAAATGATGAGGGCCATGTATAAATTCATGAGGGAAAGTCATCATAGGACAGAGGAGCAAGCTTGTTTCCTGCTGCCCTGGAGACTAGGATATGGAACAATGTCTTCAAACTACAGGAAAGGAGATTCCACTTGAACATTAGGAAGAACTTCCTAACTGTGAGAGCTGTTCAGCAGTGGAACTCTCTGCCCGGAGTGTGGAGGAGGCTCCTTCTTTGGAGGCTTTTAAGCAGAGGCTGGATGGCCATCTGCCGGAGGTGCTTTGAATGCCATTTTCCTGCTTCTTGGTAGAATGGGACTGGACTGGATGGCCCACGAGGTCTCTTCCAACTCTATGATTCTAAGAAGGAAATTGTGTAAAATCCTCACTGATCTATTCTTTTTCTCAGTGAGGTTTTCCACATGTCTGAAAATCTCTTTTCAACCTGCAATGTGTTTTTGTGAATGTTATTTCCATCCCTGACACAGATCACACATTTTTTTTCTGAAGATTGGGACATATGGCAGCAACATCTCTTCATATTACATACTGTTCTGTTGCACGCCGGGCCTGTAAAAATTGTCTTTTGAATAGGACGTGCACTTTGTGCCCAGCGGGAAGCCAGGGCACCTCGAAAGAGAGGCCCTCAAGGATTTTCCTGTACAATAGTCTTAGAGGCTTGAAAGGTTTTACAAAGTCCTTTATTACTGAACAAATTAAACAAATACTTTCCAGATATTCAATGAGTCAAACAAATGCTTCTTAACTTGTCTACAATGGACCTTGCTTGGAGAACTATTTCTTTCTTTAAAAAGGAAAACCCTTTTTTAACCTCTCCCAGGCTGTCTACTATCTAAGCTTTGCTGATGTGGGTTCTACTACCGGATCCAAACTGCTTCTTGGGCACCGAGTAGACCTACCAGTCAAGGCTTGTAGATTTTCCAGCTGGAGTTCTTTGGGTCTGTAAAACTGTTTCCCCCCGGAATTTCTTCACAAACCTTTCAGGGCTGTCTCCCTCAGATGCTGTAAGGCTGAGAGGCTGTAAGCTCCCAGCCAAAGCTTTGGGACTTTACCCCTGGAAATTCTTAAGAAATGAAGCTTTTCTGCAGGTGAAGCTGGTCCACGTTCTATAGCTTAGTTTCCTTCTTTAAAACTGAACTAAAATGGCTCCCTCTCCTCCCCAGATCCCTGGGGAAAGGGGCAGAACCAAACACAATAATGATAGACAGTTGGCTAACCCTATAACTGCAAACCAAGGGAAGCCACCTTTTTGCAAAACCCCTGAAACCTTGGAATGCATGCAAACATTAAATAGAAAGAAAATGAAGTTGGAGCTCCTGGTACAGCCGTACCAGCACACATACCCTTTGCCTGTGAGAATGTCTTCGCAAGTTGGTGGGCCTCCTCTTCTATTTGGCGCTCCATGCCTTTCTTCCCCAGGCCCAGCTTCCTCATGGTCATTTGCCCAAATCGTCTCTGCTGCTTCCAAGTGTGTCCATTCGAAAATGCAATGCCTGAATCAAGGAGTGAGAAATGACTGCCACGGCAATTGTGCTGAGCTCCCAACTTGGCTTCAAAGGGACAAGATGTAGATAGCTAAAAAGGTCAATACATTAGTCCAAAAGCATCTCAGGATTGAACTCTTATTGGAAGCCAAGATAACTGAACTCAGGTGGTCTAACTTTGGAGCTATCATGAGACATTGGAAAAAGCAATTATGCCTGGAAAAGTGGAAGGCAGCAATGAAAGAAAATGTGCATGAGAAGGACTGATCTAATAAAGCCCTGAGTTTGCAAAACAAGCAATTCATTTGCTGGAACTAATGTTTTCTTGGGTTAGTTCTAGAGCTTTTTAGGGAATTACTGGTAGTGAAAAATTATGCATCCTTAAGTTCTTGTGGTGTAGTGGGTTAAAACACTGAGCTGCTAAACTTGTTGACAGAAAGGCCACAGGTTCGAATCCGGGGAGCGGTGTAAGCTTCCACTTACACCGCCCCAGCTACTGCCAACCTAGCAGTTCCAAAACATGCAAATGTGAGTAGATCAATAGGTACTGCTCCAGTGCGAAGGTAACAGCGCTCCATGCAGTCAGCTGGCCACATGACCTTGGAGGTGTCTATGGACAATGCTGGCTCTTCGATTTAGAAATGGAGATGAGCCCCACACCCCAGAGTTGGACACGACTGGACTTAATGTCAGGGGAAAACCTTTACCTTTACCTTAAGTTCTTGTACAGATACAGTTATGCGTTTAAAGCTATAATGCTAAACTAAAGCAGAGAGTAAAACACCCATAAAATTGCAATGATAATACATTTTAAAACAACATTGTAATTAATAACACTTTAACACACTAGAGAATAAACCCACTTAAAATCTGGTTTCTTCCTCCTGCAGAATTCTGGGGTTTGTAGTTTAGTGAGGCTGTTAAAGGCTCCTCCCTAAACTACAAACTCCAGAATTCGGCAGGAGGCTGAAACTGGATTTTACGTGGATTTATTCTCTAGTGTGATCACATAGAGTTAAACTAAAAAACTGTATTGTATTTCTGAGCTTGGCCTCATGTAAGCTGCCCCGAGTCCCCTTTGGGGAGAAGGTTTTGTTTTGGTTTTTTTTTTTTGTCGTGTCAGGAGAGACTTGAGAAACTGCAAATTGCTTCTGGTGTGAGAGAATTGGCCGTCTGCAAGGACGTTGCCCAGGGGATGCCCAGATGTTTTGATGTTTTTACCATCCCTGTGGGAGGCTTCTCTCATGTCCCCACATGAGGAGCTGGAGCTGATAGAGGGAGCTCATCCACCTCTCCCCGGATTCGAACCTGTGACCTGTTGGTCTTCAGTCCTGCCGGCACAGGGGTTTAACCCACTGTGCTACCGGGGGCTCCATGGGAAGAGGGTGGCAGGGTATAAATAAAGTTTATTTATTACTACCTGCCCCCTGCCACGTGTTGCTGTGGCCCAGTCTGTTGATCTGGAAAATAAAGTAATGGGAAAGTGTGGGTTTCTAATCTATTTAATGTCTTTCAGCTTGTGGGTAAACAGTATTTCTTGCTGTTTTTTTGTCAGTGTTGATGTGGAGAGTGTCTGGTTTGCCCACCCTGGAACATGCAACATATCATTGTCCTTCTTTAGCATTCCCTTTTAAATCTATGATACTATATCTGTGCGTGTGTGAATCATATCTATTTATATCTAGGGCTGGATCTCTCTCTGTCAGGAAGGCTTTGATTTCTTGCCCTGGTGAAGGGAGTTGGACTGAATGGCCTTAAATATTTTCTGTTGGTCCTGGGGGTTCTGTGTGGGGAGTTTGCCCCGATTCTGTCATTCGTGGGGTTCAGAATGCTCATTGATTGTAGGTGAACTGTGAATCCCAGTGACTACAATTCCCAAATGTCAAGGTCTATTTCTCCCAAACTCCATCTGTGTTCATATTTGGGCATATTGAGTGCTTGTGCCATGTTTGGTCCAGATCCATAATTGTTTGAGTCCAAAGTGCTCTCTGGATGTAGGTGAACTACAACTCCCAAACTCAAGGTCAATGCCCACCAAACCCTTCCAGTATTTTCTGTTGGTCATGGGAGTTCTGTGTGCCAAGTTTGGTTCAATTCCACCGTTGATGGAGTTCAGAATGCTCTGTGATTTTAGGTGAACTATAAATCCCAGCAACTACAACTCCCAAATAACAAAATCATAATTTTTTGAGTGATGGTCACTCCTTGTGTTGTGAGAAATTTTGTTGCCAAATTTGGTGTGATTTCGTTCATTGGTTTTTTTTGGTTTTTAAGGTACTCATTATGCACAGAGCGTGTATATATATATATATATATATATAAGTTTTAAGAGAATTTTTAAAATTTCAAGAAAAAATGGGTAGTCCATATATTTAATTAAAAGTTCCTTCTGAAACAATTGGTAAATAGTTAAACGTGGTCAAGAGCTATCTCCTTGCCAGGAGTCCCCAGTGGCACAGTGGGTTAAACCCTTGTGCCGGCAAGACTGAAGACTGACAGATTCGAATCTAGGGAGAGCATGGATGAGCTCCCTCTGTCAGCTCCAGCTCCCCATGCGGGGAAAGGATAGAAGCCTCCCATGAGGATGGTAAATCATCAAAACATCCAGGCGTCCCCTGGGCAACATCCTTACACACCGCCAATTCTCTCACAGCAGAAGTGGCCTGCAGTTTTTTTCTTAAGTCGCTCCTGACACGAAAAAAAAATCTTGCCAGACATGCCTTCCACCTGAACATTAGGAAGAACTTCCTGACCATGAGAGCTGTTCAACAGTGGAACTCTCTGCCTCAGAGTGTGGTGGAAGCTCCTTCCTTGGAAACTTAAATAGAGGTTGGATGGTACTCTCTTAGGGGTGCTTTGATTGTATTTTTCCAGCATGGCAGATTGGGGTTGGACTAGATGCCCCATGTGATCTCTTCCAACTCTATGATTCTATAGCAATGATGGAAACATGTGAAATAAATTCCCCAAAGCTCTTAACAATTGGGAGTATTTATATAGAGAAACGCGGTCATTTAGGTTGTCAGGACCCAATTAGCCATTGAGCTCACCATGAGGATCACTTAAGGACTCTAGCAAAGTGAAGTAACGTTTTTGGGGCACTGGGTTGTTGTAGGTTTTTTCGGGCTATATGGCCATGGTCTAGAGGCATTTCTCCTGATGGTTGGCCTGCATCTATGGCAAGCATCCTCAGAAGTAGTGAGGTCTGTTGGAACTAGGAAATGGGTTTATATATCTGTGGAATGACCAGGGTGGGACAAAGGACTCTTGTCTGCTAGAGCTAGGTGTGAATGTTTCAACTGACCACTTTGATTAGCATACAATGGCCTGACTGTGCCTGGAGAAAACTTTTGTTGAGAAGTGATTAGATGTCCTTGTTTGTTTCCTCTCTTTTGTTGTGTTGTTGCAATTTTAGAGTTTTTTAATACTGGTAGCCAGATTTTGTTCATTTTCATGGTTTCCTCCTTTCTGTTGAAATTGTCCACATGCTTGTGTATTTCAGTGTATTTCAATTTTGGGGGCAATTGCAGCACAACATCTGGAATGTGATGTTCTTCAGGCAATAAAGACTTGATGGAATTATTTGAAATGTGAAACAGTCTTTGCTGCCCCCTCGTGGCAGTCTTCCAAAAGTGACACAACATCCAAATATTATTTTTTAATAAGTGGGGGCAAATTGTTTTAATTTTGATTTCTTTAGGATCAGCAGAAAGGACCTTGACATCAGATTGCTGTCATTGTTGTACTTTTCGGACTCACAGAGACCCAATCATGGAGTTTCCTGAACAAGATGGGACTGAATATTGCTTATTGTGCATGCAGATGTAAATTTCACATGCAGATGTGCATTCTGCATGCACATTTACATGTGTTATACATTGTGGACTTTATTGCAGAAGGCAGCCAAACTAGAAACATGGACGTGGCATCTTTTCCCCAGGGGATTGCTTCTTGCCCTCTTTCTCAATGGCTATGAAAGTCGGGACATTCACAACCCCAGTCCAATGACCTATATTGAAGGCCAAAGTCTTCCTCTCGATGCCAAAGGACTGGTTTGAAGGCGCTTAAGATTCCGCAACATCGTCCAGGGTGAACTGGGCATGAAGAATGAATCTTAAGAGTACAGACTTAAGAATTGATGATAAGAGATGACTTGACTGAGGACTTTAGAGCCAAGCCTTTCTCACGTCCATCTGCTGAGTTGTTTGGTGATGGAATGAAAAGAAAGCACTACCCTCTTCCCTGGGAAGGGGTGGAGCCAAACAATTGGGCTGGGGGAGCAATTCAACCGGTGCAAAATAACATTGATTGACAGCTACAGATAACCAAACAATTTAGCTATACATTCACATATAAGTGGGGACAGACGCGCCATCACAATTGGAGCTACATTATAGCACGTACATCCCACTTGCAATTTACTTTTCTCAACACCTTACCTCTCCCTCTTAAGGCAGCTTCAATGAAAGGGGTCACTGGCCGGTCTGCTAAGTCATCGGAGTGGTCAATCAGGCCTTCTTTCACTGCTTGGTAACCAGACAGGACTACCATAGGGATGTGCCCAATCCATAGGGTATATATGTCTCCGTAGCACTCCGCCACCTACCATTCAAACAAACCAAATTATTTTATCAAGTTTGATGAACAATTATTTCAACCATAGTTTTGCAACAAGTATTTCAACAAGTCCATCACGTCTTGGTGCCAACATTACTACAGCCATTGCTTTGGCCTTTGAGGGAGAGAAGAGCAGCCAGCACTTACTGGACTTAATCCCCGCCTCCAATGCCATATCTCTTTTCCTAGGTCTCACATTAGGAAACCTAACTGTGGCATGTATCTACATCTCTATAAGTATGTATCATGATGCTAGTCTACCAAAAACCCACCTTGTAACCTGTGGTACTCCATCCCAACATGTTATCAGAGACTTTTTTTTTATGTCAGGAGAAACTTGCGAAACTGCAAGTAGCTTCTGGTGTGAGTGAATTGACCATCTGCAAGAATGTTGCCTAGGGGATGCCCAGATGTTTTGATGTTTTATCATTCTTATGGGAGGTTCCTCTCATGTCCCTGCATGGGGAGCTGAAGCTGACAGAGGGAGCTAATCCATGCTTTTCCCGGATTCAAACCTCCAACCTGTCAGTCTTCAGTCCTGCTGGCACAAGGGTTTAACCCACTGCACCACCAGAGACTGAGAAAAGGGGATAGAAGGGGATGTGCTCAGTTATTTTTATATATCTGAATATGCTGAGATAACCATCTACAGAAACCTATGGAGTTGGTTGCAAACAATCAGCAGATGATGCTACTGCAGCACATCCAAATAGTAGAAAAGAGATAGAGGCATCACTGCTCATCCCTACATTCTCTGGCAGCATGGAAATGGGTGTGTGTTGGGGAAAGAGTGCTGCTTCCAAATTAATTGGGGGAGATTTTGGTCGCTGAATGGTCAAAACAGAATTCTGTTCTATGTAACAACCATGCATATGAGTTGCAATGGCCTAAGTTTGACTTAAGGCTGTAATTAATATGATGCCAGAAATAATTTAAGAAAGCAATGGAAATGTTGTGTTTGAAACAAAAGCCAAAACCAATCAGTTAGGCCACATTCAGCAGCAGAGTAATGCATATGCCCAAAGTCTGACCAAATAAAAATGACTTTTTCCTAGAGGACTGCAGAGGATTAGATGAGCGAGTCTTCTTCAGGAGGCAAGTTCAAATTCTGGGAGCAGATGATGTCGTGCCCCATGAAGACTCCAGTTAAGCCCTTTTTAGCTAGAGGGGTTAATAGTTTATGTACAGTTTCTGGGGAGTCAGTCTAGACAACCTCTTTGCATTTGAAGCCTCCGTCACCCTGCTCCTTTAAGAATCCCCCCAGGGGCAGAGCCTCAAACAAGGCACTTCTGGTTCTTGGAAGAGTCAGCCTTTTTGTGACTGGAAGGTGAAGCGAAAAGAAGGACAGAAGGTCTACAAATAGCATGTCCAGTCAGAGTTGTATTGAAGTACAGTCGGAACTGCACTCAAGTCCAGTCAGAGTTAAATATTGAGACCGTCTTAGAGACAGTTGGACACCATACAAGAAAGCGACAATAAGAAAAAAAAAACGATTCAAGAGCCTCAGTTCAGCCAGAACTGTGTCTATCTCTTAATAGTCAGACTCAAGAGAAGATAAAGTTTCAAATCCTTGTCATTTAATACATTCTTGTTGGATTCAACTATATAGTCTCCAATCTGTTCCCTGTGCAGCCAGTTCACCTTCCAAGTAGTAAAGATAGATTGGGGGCAGAACAGATACCAAGAAGTCAAGTGCTTTCTTTCTTTGTTGTTTATTATTATATTTACTTATATATCACCTTATCTTTCTAAAAAGAGACACCAAACAACACTAAGAACAAGGAAAATATACAATTCAAAAATAGAAACATTAAAATAGGATTAGCCATCTAAATATGTGAAAGGATGTCACAAGGAAGAGGGAACAGGCTTGTTTTCTGCTGCCTTAGAAACTACTGGACTTGGAGAAATAGCTCTGATGAAGGCAAGATGAAAATACATAATACACATGTTGGAAAATATATATTGGATGTAACCATATTAGAAATAGGAATTAGAAAATATAAAGGATGTATGTATGCATGAACTTCACTTCACTTTGCTCCTTAAAAGCTGCAAAAATTAGATGCCTCAAGAGAGGCCGTGGTCTAGGAAAGGAATGTCAAGAGATCTCTGGCAAATTTCAAGACTCTTTCCATTTTGGTACCAGGTGAAGCTTATCCTAAGATTAATGAGCTGGCCTTCAAGAGGCTTCAGGAAGAACTTATCTCAAGATGGATGGAAGCTCCTGCTTTCAGGGATTTAGTAGCCACTCTGGCGATGGTCCTTATTAATAGCAGCTACTTAGATAAAGATGCTTAAATGAAGATTGACAGGTGTTGAAGTTAAAATATGCCATTGAAGTCAATGTAAAAGTAGAATTTTGTGACGCACCTTGTGATGCCTGTATGATGCATGCATATTATTTTTAAAAGTATATAAACCAAGGCTTTTCTTTGTTCATTACCTTGTCTCTGGACAACCAGCAGGGTCTATATCCGGTTGGTGCCAACCGAGAATAAACCATGCTTTTTCAGACCTCAGGAACAAAATCTGGCTACCAGTATTAAAAAACTCAAAAATTACAACAGCAAAACAACAGAGGGGAAACAAACAGGCACATAAAATCACTCTCAACAAAAGATTCCCCCCAGGCCCTTCCAAGCCATTGAATGCTAATCAAGGTGATCAGCTGAAACATTCACAGCTAGCCCCAGGAGACAAAAGTCCTTTGTCTCACCCTGGTCATTCCACAGATATATAAACCCATTTTTCCTACTTCCAACAGACTTCACTACCTCTGAGGATGCTTGCCATAGATGCAGGCGAAACGTCAGGAGAAAAATTGCCTCCAGAACATGGCATATAGCCCGGAAAAACCTACAACAACTCAGGAATTCTCTTTGTCTCTTTTTCTCAAACCTTCTCCCTGCCATTTCAATTCAAATTACAGGGAAGGAGATTCCACCTGAACATTAGAAAGAACTTCCTGACCATATGCGCTGTTCAGCAGTGGAACTCTCTGCCTCGGAGTCCAATGGAAGCTCCTTCCTTGGTAACTTTTAAACAGAGGCTGGATGTCTATTTGTCAGGAGTACTTTGAATGTGCTTTTCCTGCATGGCCCGGGGTTGGACTAGATAGCCCATGTGCTCTCTTCCAACTCCAATTCCAATTATTCTTTGATTCTGTTATTGAAACTATAAAACAAACAATTAAAAAACACTTGCCAGGTGTACATGACACCTGCTTCATTAACCCGCAAGGAAGGCCTGAGATGGGTGTGACTGACAAAAGCATTTGCTCTTTGGGAACTAGTAACAGACATGATGGTGTACTTGAAGTTAGGCTGTCTTTCTGGAAATTAGGGGATTAGCTGTAATATGGATGTGCAGGATCTTTGGCTTCTGAAGGGTGCATTTTGTCCTGGGAACAGATTTGAAATGATACATTAACTCAGATGAATCCGAGTGAGTTGTGTTTCCTTAAAACCAAGCAACCAGTTACTATGATTCACCTGGGAGAGCAACAATTCTCACAACCTTGTAACTGATAAAATCACACATATCTAGGCGCAGCTAAGTATCTGTCAGTCTAATACTATATAGTCAGGATGTGGTATAGTGCCACCTTGCGTAGTAATTCTACATCTATACAGGCAGTTCTTAAGTTATAAACAAGATAGCTCCATGATGACATGATGGCAACAGTCTTGGACTCCCAAAGTGACCCATTTAAGGTGGAATCAGGTGTCAAACAGGGATGTGTTATTGCCCCAACTTTATTTTTCATCTTCATCGCTATGATACTTCATCTTGTTGATGGGAAGCTTCCCACCGGAGTGGAAATTATCTATTGGACAGACGGCAAGCTATTTAACCTCAGCAGACTGAAAGCCAAAACCAAGGTTACAACAACATCTATTATAGAACTCCAGTATGCTGATGACAACATTGTCTGTGCGGATTCAGAAGAAGACCTACAAGCCACTCTAAACACCTTTGCAGAGGCATACGAGAAGCTTAGCCTGTCATTGGTTGAATGGACGAACCCAGAGGGTGCCCACTAATGCTTCCTCTTCATCCTGGAAAGAAGTGAGAACTGGAGTGCCGCAGGGTTCCATCCTGGGCCCGGTCCTGTTCAACATCTTTATTAATGACTTAGATGAAGAGTTAGAAGGCAGGATCCTCAAGTTTGCAGACGACACCAAATTGGGAGGGATAGCCAAGACTCCAGAGGACAGGAGCAGGATTCAAAATGATCTTGACAGATTAGAGAGATGGACCAAAACTAACAAAATGAAGTTCAACAGTGACAAATGCAAGATACTCCACTTGGGCAGAAAAAAGGAAATGCAAAGATACAGAATGGGGGACAAGGCCTGGCTTGAGAGCAGGACGTGTGAAAAAGATCTTGGAGTCCTCGTGGACAACAAGTTAAACATGAGCCAACAATGTGATGTGGCGGCAAAAAAAGCCAATGGGATTTTGGCCTGCATCAATAGGAGCATAGTGTCTAGATCTAGGGAAGTAATGCTACCCCTCTATTCTGCTTGGTTAGACCACACCTGGAATATTGTGTCCAATTCTGAGCACCACAATTCAAGAGAGATATTGACAGGCTGGAATGTGTCCAGAGGAGGGTGATTCAAATGATCAAGGGTCTGGAGAACAAGCCCTATGAGGAGCGGCTTAAAGGCTGGCATGTTAGCCTGAAGAAGAGAAGGCTGAGGAGCATGATAGCCATGTATAAATATGTGAGAGGAAGCCACAGGGAGGAGGGAGCAAGCTTGTTTTCTGCTTCCCTGGAGACTAGGACGCGGAACAATGGCTTCAAACTACAAGAGAGGAGATTCCATCTGAACATGAGAAGAACTTCCTGACTGTGAGAGCCGTTCAGCAGTGGAACTCTCTGCCCCGGGGTGTGGTGGAGGCTCCTTCTTTGGAAGCTTTTAAACAGAGGCTGGATGGCCATCTGTCAGGGGTGATTTGAATGCAATATTCCTGCTTCTTGGCAGGGGGTTGGACTGGATGGCCCATGAGGTCTCTTCCAACTCTTTGATTCTTTGATTCTATGATTCTATAAGGAAGGACAAGATCCTGCCTGCTCCCCAGCCAATCCCTCTCCAATGCCAGAAATATTGCTTAATGGTGCAACATTAGACAATGTTGACTATTTCCGCTCCCTTGGCAGCCACCTCTCCACCAAAGTCAACATTGACACCGAAATACAACACAGCCTGGGTTTTGCGAGTGCAGCATTTTCCTGAATGAAGCAGAGAGGGTTGTATGGCCATGTTCTAGAAGCATTCTCTCCTGACGCCTTAAACGTCTACTTCTGAAAATTTCAAACCATTTCCTAGAGAATTCATTACTGCCATGTTAGTCTGTTATTCCCTAACAACAGAATGTCCATCTGGAGTAGCAATCAGGGTGATATGGTGAATCTTGGTTGTTGCAGAATGCGACAGGGAATATCAACCTTGCAATGATCCCTTCCCAAAACACATGCAAGTGTAAGGTGGAATCACTGTTGCAGAAGTCACTAACAGTATGCTGCCTGCTGAGTATTGCACTCTAGCCAGGGCTTGGCTACCATAAATACAATGACAAATCAGTTCTCCCCAGCCTGTCTTACCCAGATGATTAATTATCAAGTAAGAAATACCTTAGTGAAAGTATCCTGAGATAGCCTGATCCCAAGCCGCCATAGGCCTCCAATGACAGGAAGTGGAAGAGGACCAGGAGGGTAATGTCTGTACGACCACAGCTGTTTCAGGTATCGCAGAATCAGTCGTGGAATCAGCGTCACCAAACATGCCAGTCTTGCCAACATTCCCCTATCTTGGCTTTCTCTCTCTTTGTGTCTGCCCAGTGCCCTTGAGAGCTCTCAGCATGATCTCTCCAATGACTTTTTTGCCTTCCGTTCCTCAGAGATGACAGTACTTGCCTCTGTTTACTTCTTAACAGACTTTTGGACACTGCAATTATTTCAAACAGGTAAGCACCACAATTTCGTATCAAAGTAAGCCTTGGAATGTGATCTGCCAGCCCTCTATTGTTGCAGCACAAGAACCAATTATCTATGTTAAGTCTGATGGAAAGATATGCCCTTAACAAAAAGCTGACACAATCTGATCTAGGCCACATACATTCTTGATATAGGTGATTATTTAGGATAGGTAGAACCAAATCTGGCCTGGGTCGTTGTAGGTTTTTCAGGCTATATGGCCATGTTCTAGAAGCATTCTCTCCTGACGTTTCACCTGCATCTATGGCCAACATCCTCAGAGGTTGTGAGGTCAGGAATATCAACCTTGCAATGATCTTCTCCCAAAACACATGCAAGTGTAAGGATGTGAGGATGCTTGCCATAGATGCAGGCAAAATGTCAGGAGAGAATGCTTCTAGAACATGGCCATATAGCCTAAAAAACCTACAACAACCCAGTGATTTTAATCACGAAAGCCTTCGACAATACATCAAATCTGACCTGTTATTTCCATACAATTTTTAACATTAAAAACTGAAACTCTTTGAGCCCTTGAGGGAAAAGACATAACCTAGAATACTACCTGTTAAGTGGTTAGATAGTACCAGTGAGAAAAACTTTTAGGAAGAGAGCAACTGACGAGATCTCGATAGCCTTTTGGGGAGCTGAAAAAGAGGTGCCAATGCAGGAAGACGTTTTACTTTGGGCAATTCTACATGAACCAGCTAGAACGTTAAGATCGTCTGGGGAGGACCTGCTCTCGGTCTCGCCTGCGTCACAAGTACGTCTGGCGGGGACGAGAGACAGGGCTTTCTCAGTGGTGGCCCCTCAGCTGTGGAACACCCTTCCTAGAGAAATTAGATTGGCCCCCTCCCTGTTAGCATTTCGGAGTATAGTGAAGACCTGGTTGTTCGAGCAGGCATTTGAATAGGCAGTGTAATGAATATAGGAATATGGAACAATTGGATGATGAGACTGGATCTTGATTTTAACTATGAGATGATAATGAGATATTTAATTGATTGTTATAATCCTATTGTTTTAATTGTTTTTAACTGTTTTATGATGTTTTAAGCATTGGATTTTGCTATTGTGAACCGCTCTGAGTCGCCCGAGGGCTGAGAAAAGCGGTATACAAATATGGTAAATAAACAAACAAACAAACAAACAAACAAATAAATAAATAAATAAATAGGCAACTAAACTGGGCTCAAACTGGTGGCATCTGCCTGCACAGGCCCTAACCCATTACTGATGACAGATATGACAGGATAGTGAAAAGGAGAGTAAAGCCAGGTGTCATCTGGATGAGCTCTCCTAACATTTTCAGGTCATCAGTAAGGAGCCCCCGGTGGCGCAGTGGGTTAAACCCCTGTGCCGGCAGGACTGAAGACCGACAGGTTGCAGGTTCGAATCCGGGGATAGGCAGATGAGCTCCCTCTATCAGCTCCAGCTCCTCATGCGGGGACATGAGAAAAGCCTCCCACAAGCATGATAAAAACATAAAATCATCCAGGCGTCCCCTGGGCAACGTCCTTGCAGATGGCCAATTCTCTCACACCAGAAGCGACTTGCAGTTTCTCAAGTCTCTCCTGACACACACACACACACACACACACACACACACACAAAGGTCATCAGTAATGGACTGACGGAGGGTAAACTAGCTGCTAAGGCAGGTTGGAGGGGGCATTTGTGATATAGGATTGCAATGACTGTAAATACAAATAGTGGACAATTATAAATTTGTAACTGCTTAAGACACTTGTAACTGCTTAACAGTATTCCTGCTGCCACCTGAATAAACTGTATGTTTAATAATACCAAGTGTGATAACATTGTGCCAAAGTTATATATAGCAATTTGAACAAAGTGACCAAGCTGTGCCTCAACAAATTACAAATCCCCCCCCCCCTTTTTTAAAGGTTGCAACCATGGATGCATCTACACTGTAGAAGTAATGTGGTTTGATATCATCTTAACTCCTGTCAAATTTCCAGCTCTACAAGGATGATCCTAAAACCACAGAATTAAGTTTCATCATTCTGGGATTGTTCATCTCTACTTTCCATTCTGCCCCTCCCTGGGTGTGTGCAGCCTCTTGTTCCAAGTGTTGAGAGTAGGTTTGATGCAATATGATATTAATTTGTCAGGATGACATGAGTTTGCTCTCTGTAAGATCCAAAAGAATGATCAAATGAGATGATCTGAAATTGTAATAGAGTTGACAAATGATTCCTCCTCGAGGTTGAGGTGAGGTCCTTTGGTGTAAGGACCTCATCACACAGAGGCTGAGAAGCATCTTCTCTATGCTTCTCTATGCTGCTGGCACACTGCTGGCACAGAGTCCATTGGAGCCCGTCAGATGATGCAGGGCTACTTCCGGTGAGGCTCCATTGGGCTCTGTGCTGGCAGAGTGGTGGCAGCGTTGAGAAGTCCAACCCAGAGGAGTTGATGTCCACCCAACTAGTCATAGAAAAAGCCAAGGAAGAAGTGAGTGGAAGCCAGGGACAGCAGAGAAATGTCATGGGAAGGGATCACATGATGGTAAGTCTGTGAAGCATTATGGTGCTCCATGGTTTACTTTGCTGTCTCCTGCTACCTGCCTCAATCTGATGAAAAGGATCCCCCCTTCCAATTATTTCCCATATATATCCCCCTAACATTGCTAATGGATTGTTTTTAATTTGTTTTATTGCTTTAGTGAATGGTTTTTATTGCCTATTTAAAAATTTCATTTGAGTGTTTTTAATAAACAATATGGATATTTAAAAGTTTTCAAATAAAATAAATTCTGCAAACCAAATTTTATTCAGCATACGTTTTCGCAGATTACAACCCAATGATGATGATAATAATAATAATAACAACAACAACACTTTATTTGTACCCCTCTACCATCTCCCCAAGGGACTCGGTGTGGCTTACATGAGGCCGAGCCCAAACACAACAATACAAGCAATAAACAACAATACAAGCAATAAAAAACATAGACAATAAAATATACAATGTTATCAATAAGACAACACACAATTAAAAACAGTGGGAAGGCCAAATGTAAAATTAAAATTGGAAGTAATGCTGGGGCTTGGACGAGAAGGTGATACTGGTGTTTGTAGAAGGGCATACAAGCAGACCTAAAGAAATGTAAAGTGCTTTGGAGGACAAAGTACTATGGGATCATTATTCCGGGAAGGCACACTGGAACAGCCATGTCTTCAAGCTCCTCCTGAAGACTGCCAGAGTTGGGGCCTGTCTGATGTCTTTAGGGAGTGAGTTCCAGAATCGAGGGGCCACCACCGCAAAGACCCTCTCTCTCGCCCCCACCAATCGCGCCTGCGATGCTGGAGGGATCGAGAGCAGGGCCTCTCTGGATGATCGAAGGGATTGCGTGGGTTCATATATGGAGATGCGGTCACGCAGGTAGGCAGGTCCCAAACCATTCAGGGCGTTGTAGGTAAGAACCTGCATCTTGAATTGGATCCGGCAAATGAATGGCAGGTCAGATGCATGGATTCCTCCTTCATTTGGCTATTGCTTGTATTTTTGAGTGTGTGGAGGACTATGCTGAGCAGGGGTGGAACACATTTCAGTTCCAAATTATAAACTGTGACAATTAGCCAAAGAGTGATAATTAACAAAACAATAATTGAATGGTGACACAGATAAGATGATTAAAATCTGAATCCTACTTCTTAGTTCCAACTAGATCCATTGAATGAATAGTTGAATGGTGAATCAAGCCATAAGTAAATTGAATCCGTGGGTATACTCTGACTAACCATAGGATTCAGGCTGTAGTGTGATTAAACAAACACAACCCTTTGTTCTTATTTATGCAAAAAGAGGTGCTGGAGAAGGAAGAATGAGTTAAGGCCAGGGAAACTTTGTACAGCAATGCACTAAATCAGTGGGACCACCAATTCCAAACACACAGCACTGACCAATAGTATGCCAACTGTTTCCAACTATAAAGCCCCAGGAAACTCAACTTAAATGAAGATTCAACTTCAGAAAGGCTGATTGGACTAAATTCTCAGACATGTTAAATGACATGATCATATCAGACGTGCCAATCCCTGAGGAATACGAGCACTTCATCGAAATAGTGAAAACCTGCTCACGGGCCTCTATACCTTCAGGGCATTACTCCTGAAACAGCTGTCTTGTTGGAAAACTATTACAGGCTCCACAACAAAGACCCATTTAGTGAGCAGACCCTTCAGGCAGCGCAGAGCATTGTGTCTCTGAAGCCAAGAAAGAACGGTGGATCAAGCTGATCACAGAGGACGACATGGGCAGGAGCAGCCAGAAGGCGTGGAGGCTGCTAAGACGGTTGAGCAATGACCCCTCACAAACTAACACCCATGCCAACATAAAGGCAGATCAGATAGCACACCAACTCTTGAAGAATGGGAAACCCAGCCTTGCCACCAAAGTAGGAAAGAAACCAATAGCCAGACAATCAGAGATTGAGAACAACAACCTTCATGAACCCTTTACATCTACTGAATTGGACATGGCTCTCAATAAATGTAAAAAATGGCAAAGCAGCTGGTCTGGATGATCTACGGATGGAACAAATCTAGAACTTTGGCCCAAAAGCAAGGCGCTGGCTGCTGGAGCTGATGAACAACTGCACTGCATCCTGTCAGATCCCCAAAATCTGGAGGAAAGCAAGAGTCATAGCCATCTTGAAGCCAGGCAAAGACCGAAATGACCCAAAAAAGCTACAGACCAATCTCCCTGTTGTACCACCTCTACAAAGTTCTGGAGAGACTTATCTTGCATAGAATTATGGAAAAAATAGACCCATGTCTGATCCCACAGCAAGCTGGCTTCAGGAAAGGCAAAAGTTGCACATCGCAAGTGATGAACCTGACTCAGCACATAGAAGATGGCTTTGAAAGGCAGCAGATCACAGGAGCTGTCTTCATAGACCTGTCAGCGGCTTATGATACTGTG